TTCCGCCTCCCGAGTTTATGCCATTCTCCCGTGTCTCGGCCTCCCAAAGTGCTGGGATTACAGGCTTGAGCCACCGCGCCCGGCCACACTCACACTCTTATAGTCACACTCTCACACTGTTGGACCCACACAGTCACAGTTATGCTCACACTCTCACACTCACACACACTCAGAGCATGGGATCACTGGATGAGCCAGCCAGTCTTCCTTCCCACGTGGTCTGGGGTGGCCGGGCTTTACCTGGAAGCGCAGGTGCCGCTGCAGATCGCGGAGGTCCAGCCTCATGGCCCACAGCTGCATCCTCTCCGTGTTGGTCCAGCGGCCCTGGGTCCCCAGCCCTCCCAGCAGGGCACGGAAGGGCTGAAGCGTGGTGGAGAGGAAGCAGAGACGCTCCAGGTCCTGAAGGGAAGGCAGATGGTCAGGAAAGGCCCACAGGCCAAGGATGGACATGTCACACCCACCCCCTCCCTATCCAGGTCTCCTTCCCATTCCACACTCCAGCCTCCAGTCTATCCCCATAGCTCTTCCCCACCTCAGCCCAGCTCCGTCGCCACCTCAGCCCAGCTCCGTCTCCATTCCTTCCATCTCCACTGTCTGGGACATTTGCCCCATCTCCTTTTCCAGCCTCCCTTTCACTCCCATGCCCATGATCTTCTCTAACCCACCCCTCTCAGTCCCTGAAGCACTCTCCTCCTGCAGCCCTGTTCCCTTCTCTCCTTCACCACCCCATCATACCTCCTGCCCACGCGTTTCCATCCCATCTTCAGCCCCATTCCCATTTCTAACCCCAACTCCGTCCTTCCTCCATGTGCCCAGACTCAGTCTTTCAATTTTTCCATCCCATCTCCAACCTCATTCCCAACCCCATCCATTCCCTTCCCCACCAGCAACTCCCATCCCTTCTCCATCCCCTGCTTAATGTTCACCCTCATCTCCAACCTTCTCATCTCTAGCTATCCGCATTCTCACCCCCAGTGCCACCTCCACCCACCCTCCATGCCGCTGTGATCTCTCTCCAGTCTCATGTCAGTCCCCTGCCTGCCGCATTCCATGCCCAGCTCCACTCTTACCTCTTCCTAACCCCACTTCCTTATTCCAGCTTCATCTTTATTGTTTGTTTGTTTGTTTGTTTTGAGATGGAGTCTTGCTCTGTTGCCCAGGCTGGAGTGCAGTGGCGCGATCTCATCTCACTGCAACCTCTGCCTCCTGGGTTCAAGCAATTCTCCTGCTTCAGCCTCCTGAGTAGCTGGGATTTCAGGCACACACCACCACACCTGGCTAATTTGGTATTTTTAGTAGAGACGGGGTTTCTCCATGTTGATCAGGCTGGTCTTGAACTCTTGATCTCAGGTGATCCGCCTTCCTCGGCCTCCCAAAGTGCCGGGATTATAGGCATGAAGCGCCATGCCTGGCAGTTTATTTATTTTTCTGAGACAGGGTCTCCCTCTGTCCTCCATCCTGGGGTCCAGGATTATAACTCACTGCAGCCTCCAACTCCTGAGCCCAAGCAATCCTCCCATGTCAGCCTCCTGAGTAGCTGGGACCAAAGGTGTGTACCACCATGCCTGGCTAACTCTTAAATTCTTTTGTAGAGACAAAGTCTCGCTATGGGGCCGGGCGCGGTGGCTCAAGCCTGTAATCCCAGCACTTTGGGAGGCCGAGACGGGCGGATCACGAGGTCAGGAGATCGAGACCATCCTGGCTAGCACGGTGAAACCCCGTCTCTACTAAAAAAAAATACAAAAAACTAGCCGGAGGTGGCGGGCGCCTGTAGTCCCAGCTACTCCGGAGGCTGAGGCAGGAGAATGGCATAAACCCGGGAGGCGGAGCTTGCAGTGAGCTGAGATCCGGCCACTGCACTCCCGCCTGGGTGACAGAGCGAGACTCCGTCTCAAAAAAAAAAAAAAAAAAAAAAAAAAAATCTCGCTATGTTGCCCAGGCTAGTCTTGAACTCCTGGCCTCATGCAGTCCTTCCACCTTGGCCTCCCAAAGTGCTGGGTTTATAAGTGTAAGTCACCGTGCCTGTCATCTTTATGTCCAATGACATATTCAACATCATCCAGGTTCTATCCCCAATGCATCTCCAGCTCAATCTCCAGCCTCATCTTGCACCCTGGCCCCAGTCTATCACAAGCTTCCCGCCCCATTCCACCAGCCCTCACTCACAGAGAGGCGGCGCCAGGTCTGGAAGGTCAGGGAAACATCAGGGAACTGCTCTCCCAGGGGCAGGAGGTCCAGGTTCACTCCTGGCAGGTGAGATTCCGCCTGGGGGGCAAGGTCTGTTAGTGGGGGCCAGAAGGGATTGGGGGTCTGCCCGTCCCCAGCACCAGCTGCATTATGGGGACTTACAAAGCGGTGGGCCTGGCCCCGAACCTCGGAGAGCAGCTTCCTGGCGAGATGCAGGCTGACCGTGAACTCCCTCTGCAGCTTCTGCACGCTCAGTTGGGGCCTCCCTGGGGGCCTTGGGAATCCCCAGACACCAGCTTGAACCAGGAGCAAGGGAAGCAGCAACAGGCTGAGCCCTGGAGAGATGGGGGGAGGGTGGGCGAGACAGGGAGAGAGCTTGAGAACTCGGGAGAAGGAACGGAACATGCCTTTTCTGAGCCTGTGCTAGCTGTGAGCATAGTACAGCCACTTTCACCATCATCATTCCTCTGCCTCCTCAAAACCACAGTGGAGGCCAGGTGCGGTAACTCATGCCTGTAATCCCAACAATTTGGGAGACTGAGGTGGGCGGATCACCTGAGGCCAGGAGTTCAAGACCAGCCTGGCCAACATGGCAAAACCCTGTCTCTACTAAATATACAAAAATTAGTCAGGCATGGTGGTGCATGCCTGTAATCCCAGCTACTCAGGAGGTTGAGGCAGGAGAATCGCTTGAACCCGGGAAGCAGAGGCTACAGTGAGCTGATATAACACCACTGCACTCCAGCCTGGGCGACAGAGCCAGACTCCGTCTCAACAAAACAAAACAAAACAAAACAAAACCCCACGATGCAGCCAGCATGGTCCCCATATGGCATCTCTGTATGGAGTGCCCACTTTTGCAAAAAGACCAGAAGCCTGATCCTGTGTTTTGTTTTTTTTTTTCTTTTGAAACAGAGTTCTGTTCTATCACCCAGGCTGGAGTATAGTGATTTGATCACAGCTCACTGTAGCCTTGAACTCCTGGGCTCAAGTGATCCTTTTGCCTCAGCTTCCCGAGCAACTGGGACCAAAGAGACACACCACTGTGCCTAACTGTTTCTATTGTTTTGTAGAGACAGGGTCTCACTACATTGCCCAGGCTGGTCTTGAACTCCTGGCCTCAAGAGATCCTCCCGCCTCAGCCTTCCAAACTGCTGGGATCACAGGCATGAGTCACTGTGCCGGGACAGAGGCTGGATTTTTGACCCCCATAAACTCCCTTGGCCAAATGCCTTTTTCAGTGAGCAACCTGCACAACCACATGTGGCAGCCTCAGTGCTATTGTTCTCCCCATTTTGCAGATGAGGCTCAGTGAGGTTGACTTGCCCAAGGTCAAATAGCCAGAAGGTGGGAAACCAGGACTGGATTCCAGATTTTTCCAAATGCAGGGCCCATGGGTTTTCCCCAGAGAATGCAGAGGGAGGCAGCCACCTGCCCCAGGAGTGGGCACACCATGTTCTGCCAAGGATTCTTTGGGCTCAGTCAAGCGGCTCTGATGGCTTGAACTGGCCATGAGGTCCCCAGGGATGGGTTAGCAATGCCAGAGGCTCTGTCCCAGGGAATCAAAAGGACAGGTTGGTCCAGTTTCCATCACGGCAGGTGGATCCTGGCAGGGTAACCTGCCTGGGGCGAATCCACAGTGTGGGAGCTTTTTTTTTTTTTAAAGACAGAGTCTCACTCTATTACCCAGGCTGGAGTGCAGTGGTGCGATCTTTGCTCACTGCAACCTTCATCTCCTGGGTTAAAGCAATTCTCCTGCCTCAGCCTCCTGAGTAGCTGGAATTACAGCCATGCGCCACCACGCCGGGCTAATTTTTATTATCTTTAGTAGAGAGGGGTTTTGCCATGTTGGCCAGGCTGGTCTCCAACTTCTGACCTCAGGTGATCCACCTGCCTTGGCCTCCCAAAGTGCTGGGATTACAGACATCAGCCAGTGCGCCCAGCCCAGAATGGCTGAATTCCGAGTGTGCTTCCTGACCTGTGTTTTCCTGGAAAGAGGGGCAGCGGATGGGCGCTCTAGGAAGAGGGCAGTATTCATCAATTTCCCCCTCAGGGAGAGGAAATCTAGCAAGCACAAGAGTTACACAATTCTCCTCGAAACACAAACCAAAACTGGCCCGAAGTCCATCCTACTCTCCCTACTCTCCCTACTCTCCCTGCCTCTTCCCTGTCCTCTCTCAATCTCTAATCCCTGAGCTCTGCTCTTCGAAATGTCCCGATAAAGGTGAAGGGGAGCTTTTAGGGACGTCTACTCCCTCATGGACTTCTAGATGTGGTGGGCATTGCCTAACCTAAGATCTCTGGCATTCAGACTCCCTGGCTTGGGGGCCACTCGGACCCTCTGACATCCTGGAGACTTAAGGCAGAGTGGGGTTCTTCCTAGCTCAATGTTGGGGACAGGGTGGTGCCCCCAGGCCCTGGAGGATCATGCCCAACCATAAGTGAGCTGTGCCATCTCCGACCTGAGCTCTGGAGCCCCCAAACCCCCTCCTTACCCTCTGCAGCCGATCCTGGGTCATTGGCTCTGGCCTTTGAAGGTTCTGTCTCCATCCTCCAGCCTTTGGTCCCTACCTGCCCTATGTAGCATGTTACCTTCTCCTCTGCCTACTGCTCTGGTTCTAGCCCCTGAGTTCTGCAGCCACCAGCCACAGATTGGACCTCCTTCTAACATCAGACTAAAGACCTTTGACCCAGTGAGGCTGCTGACATCTTGGTCCCAGCGCCCCACTTGTGCCAGCACTTGTTCTGTTCTTCCTTCAGCCGGCCCCATTCTCAGTCTTAGCCAAGCTGTTTGGCTTCTGCTTATTCACTCCAAACTCTTCATTTATCTGTCTAGACCTGGTCCTTGTCAAATTGCTGGTCCAACCCTCCCCATTCCTGCTAGCCAAGGCTTCCTTCCCATCCTCTGCCCAGCCCTGGGTCAAAACACCACCCCACTGCCCCAGGCCCCCAGCCAGTCACTCCAGCCTCCCCTGCCATCCAGCAGCCAGCCAAACCCTCAGTCTTGGCCAAGTTGCCGCTCTCAGCTCTCGACCCCATGCACCAGCCAAGCTCGTCCATCCTCTGCCCAAACTCAACCAAGCCCCCCATCCCTGGCTTCAAACTCACGCCAGCCAAGGTTGCCTGCCGTCTGGCCCATGGCGGGGCCCGGCCTCTTTGGTCAGCCATCTCCTGGGTAGGGGGGGTCTTATACTGGGGGCTGTGCCCGGTTTCACTTTCCGTCCTGCTTGTACTTTCAGCTTTGTGTTCACTCACTCTTCCCTCTCGCCACCCCTTGCTAAAATGGGGAAATGTAATTTCCCTTCCCGGAGGGGGTGGGAGGTATGATGGGGGGTGACGGGAAGCTGGGGTTTCAGGACACCCAAGCTCCAGACTCACTGCTAAGCTCCCACGGCCAGCTCTGCCCTCAGTGCCCCATGCTTGGGTGAGCCATCCAGCCCTATTCACTGGTTGATCCCAGAGTCCCAAATCCCCTCCTGATTCTCGGCTCTGCCACCACCATCCTAGGGTCTACTGTCCTTCCAAAGATGGATGGCCAGGTAAGGGGATTGCCCACCCGAGGGGACTCGGGGGTTTGAGTCATCTGACTCCCTTATGGTTTACCAGATGGCTGAGGAAGGTGGCGCAAAGAGAGTCAGTGCTTAATGGGTGGCTGGGATGCACCCTTGCTTGGGGCCAGGAAGAGGCTCAGTGTGATGGTGGGATTGGAGCTCAGTTTGTAACTAGGATCAGGGCTGGATAAAATTAGGTACGAGGCCATATCTGGGACCAGGGTTAGGGCTTTTTCCAGGGTCAAGGGCTCTGTCTCCATCTTTAACCAGAGTCAGATATAGGATTTGAGTTCAGTCTATAATCAGGATCAGGGACTCAGTGTACAGCTGAACTCACGGACTAGTCCCCGGCCAATATCCTGGCTGTGTCTGTATTTAGGGTCACAGCTATCGGTGACCTGGGGCTTTGCTTGTGGCCTGTAGGGTTGGGTCTAGAGCTTGGTCTTTGGCCAAGGTGCTGACTGGGACTGGGACTCAGTAGGGGGTCCAGGCCTGGGCTGGGATGAGAGCTCAGTCAATGACCAGGATCGGGGCTCAGCTTGTGGCCAGGCTCAGGTTGAGTGAGGTCAGGATCAGCGCTCAGCCAGGCCCAAGAATAATCTTGGTGTTTCTGCTCTGTAGAAGCCATGGTCAGGGCTGGGCCGCATGGACCACAGATCTCCCTTCCAGCACAGCCCCACCCTCAGCCCCGCCCTGGATTTCCCATCTTCAGGGAGAGGATGGGGTTTCTTGGTCTTCCCCGAGAACAACTGCTGCCACTTTCTTTTTAGGACCTGTGGGGTTTCCCTGCCGGGTCCCTGGTGTGAGATAGAAACCAAGGGGGGCTTCCCCTTCCTGCTCTCTGCCTCCTTGGCCTGCCTGGGCACTGCCCACCAGGCCACGTGGGAACAAGTGCTCCAGGGAAATACCAACATCTGCTGAGGGAGCAGCCCCACGGGCCACTGGAGACCGACAGGGAACTGGGGCTGTAGTCCAGACAGGTTTCCCCTGCAGCACCCCCCAGTGGTGGCAGCTCACTCCCCGGCAGCCCATGCAGCTGGGGCTCCCCACAGCGGGTCCTAGAGGCATGCCACCTGCTCACCCCCTTGACCACATGGGGCCTCCCTTTGGCTCTCTCCATGGTCCCTCCCAACCTCTACTGTCACCCAGAACTTCCTTACCTCTCAAATCTTGAACCCTGGCTGGGCGACTTGGCTCTCACCGGTAATCTCAGCACTTTGGGAAACTGAGGTGAGAGGATCCCTTGAGGCCAAGAGTTCCAGACCAGCCTAGCCAAAATAGCAAGACCCCATCTCTATTAAAAACAAAATAGGCCGGGCGCGGTGGCTCAAGCCTGTAATCCCAGCACTTTGGGAGGCCGAGACGGGCGGATCACGAGGTCAGGAGATCGAGACCATCCT